ATTCCCCAATAAAAATCTTTAAAAAAAAAATGTGTTTGAGTTTTCCACACTGCCCTGAAGCCCCACCTACCTTGCAGGTAACTACCCCAACCCCCATCACGGCTAACCAAGAGCAGTTTTCACAGAGCCATCAGCTGCCTGGCTGCTTCAAGGCGGCAGCTTCTCACGAAGACCAGACATCTCTGCTGAATTTTGCTTTTACCCCATACTGATCATCATATTCAGAACGAAATCCCATCACCTTCCTATGCCTTGGGATGCCCGGCAGGCTCTGCCGACCATCCCTCCTCCCCCGCATCACCTCCCACTCTCCCTCTTGTCCCCCACCATCTGGCCACACTGACCTGCTTTCTGTTCTCAAATATGTCAAAGTCATCTCCTGCCCCAGGGCCTTTGCACTAGCCGTTCCCGGGCCTAGAATATTTTACCACCACCCCACACACATACCCATCTTCTCATTGCCTTTAAAAGTCGACCTGAACTGTCACTTCTTCACTGAGATCTTCCTTGACTCCCAGTCCACCCTGTCACTCTGCCCTATTTTAATTCCTTGCATTAGAACATACAAGGAAAATCTGACATATTTCACGTGTGCTTGTTTGCCCAACTCCCCCACTACAATGTAGGTTTGTGGGAACAGGGACCACACAGGTCTGGCTTGTCTGTGGCTATGTGCCCAGTACCGAGAACAGCATCTGGCACACTTTTTGAATGAAAAGGTTTAAAACTCCATCACTGTTGCTTTGCAGAAGCATAAGACAAACAAATGGGGCTGATCCAGGGCCGAATGGTCTCCAGGAGAAGAGTCAGCAGCCCCAGAAGCGTGAGGATGGGGACGGTCAAGTTTTGAAGCAACCTTGTGTCCTCATTGAGTCTATTTCTCTCCCCACAATAAGATTCAATCTCCTCAAAGCTGCTTGTAAAACTGATAAGAAAATGGCTGGTAAAAACCTAGTGCTACCCTGTACAGAGAAAAACCAAAGCGGCTATTATTTTATTCTTCAGTTATGAGGTTCAGGTTCAAAAACGAGGGAAGATGTCAAAATATCCTGGATCCTGTTCTAGCCTCACTGGTGGGTTCTCTTCCCCTGCATCCCAGAGGATGGATGGACAGATGATGTGTTACATGCCCCAGGGGAGAGAGCAGCACGAATGACAAACCACAGAGCGCTGGACAGGCCCTCAATGTATGAATGGACAAAGCGAGGCCTGGCAAAGAGAAGCGAGGTGCCCGAGGCTCCAGTCTAACAAGTTGTAATTTCACAAATCTGAGAGGTCGTTGACTGTTAGAGACACCCTTATTTTAAGTACCA